CCCTGCGGAGAAGAGCCACACTAGGATAAACCGCTGGCGAAGCCCAAAGCCATCGACTGCTGACGTAGGTTTCGAAAATAGAAACTCGGGTGGATAGAGCCGACTGGGTGGAATCCATAAGGCGCTTAAATGCGAAAAAACTACTCTGGGTTTTACGCAAACAGTGGAACAGGGTGTCTTCTCCCGTCACCTGATATCCTAGAGGAACTCCCAAGAAGATAAAGGCCTCTGATGTCTGCAGTGGGAGGAAGGAGTTAACTCCCCAGACCCCGTAATGTTCACCCAGTGGACCCTGAAGGACCGAGCTCTTATGGGTATTGATATGCAGACCCACAGCGGACAGGGCATGCTGGACACGTTTCAGTCTCTCCTGAAGGTTTAAGGGGGATGTACCAATCAGGAGAATGTCGTCTGCATATAAAAGTAATGGCGGAAAGGACACACCACCTACAAGAAGGGGGTCATGCTGTTGGAGATCACGTATGATAGGCTCAAGTATCCACGAGATGATCCGTGAGAACAGCTCTGCACTGTAGGAGGTACCTTGCAGTATGCCTTTGCCCAAGAGCTGCTTCCAGGACTGTCCACCTACCTCGAGTATGATCTCGTTATTTGTGGCTAGATTCCAGAGAGTTCGAGCCTCTCTGCTAGGTACGAGTCCTAGGAGGTAGTGAGCTATGGCTCTATGCGAGAGTGAGTCGAAGGCCGCTCTAATGTCAAGTTTGGCAAAGCATAATGGAGTGTTTGACCTTTTGCTGACAGAAATGGCAGCTCGGGCTGTGTTAATGCCGTCCATGGCTTGTCGTCCGGGATGACATCCCAATTGTAGAGGGTTACATGCCGGGGCAAATTTACGAATTCTGTAAATGAGGATGCGACCAAAAAGTTTAGCAACTGTGCTGGTGAGACAGATAGGCCGAAGATCAGCCGGTGTGGCTGGCAGTTTGATCTTGGGGATAAAGCTGATTCGGCCGGTCTTCCACTCTGGGGGTACATTTCCTGTTAACATGACATCATTCAGAAAACTACAAAAAGAACTCTGTAGGTTGGTTTGCATGATCTGCTTAAGAAGACTATACGGTACACCGTCCTCGCCGGTGCACGTTTTATTGTCAAGCTTACAGAGGTGTTTGGAGATCTCTTGTGGGGTAATGGGGTCGAAGGCCGCCTGTTCATGTTTACGGAATAGCTCTTGGACTACAGGTTCAAGGGGGGTTATATCCTCCTGCATATACTTCTTCTGATAGAATGCTTTCACATCTTCCTGCGCCTGCGCGGCCCCGCCTGCTCTTTGCAGGAAACCCGCATCCGTCGCAGATGTGGCCGAGCTACGCTTCAAGAAGGATATCGCGGCTCTATCGCCCGCTTGGGCACGTTGGAGGAGGTCGGCTTTATGCTCTGTCTTCGCTTGCACACGTGCCTCATGAATTCGGGAGACTAATTTAGAACGGGCATCTGGGTCAGCAGTTTGTTTCCGTTGTTGAATGAGTTCATGCACATGCACAGGATCTTTGTACCGTAGGCTAGGGGGTTTCACGACCGCCTTATCGCGGAGTGTGTACAGTGTTTCCAAGTTGAAAAGCGGGAAGTGGGATGCAGCGGCCTCAAGTCTTCGGGGGTCTGTGTCCCAGACCCCACAGAGTGTTCTACGATATTGTGGCCGCGCAAAAGGTGTTTTTGCCGAGCAAGTAAATAAGAGGGCATTATGATCCGAAGGTAAGCCCATCCTTAGGTCCGCCCGATTCTCAATCAAAGAGGAAACACCCAACCCCCGAAAGAAAACGAAATCAATCTTGGAGGAGCACCCACGAGCAAACCATGTATGGCCATCAAAGGGCTGCATGCGCAGGTCGTGTTGTGCAATGACTGTTCTGAAATGGGGCATGCCAGCAAAGGAGTCGTAGTGAAGAGTATAGTCTTGATTAAGGTCTACTGATAAGAAGACAATGTCTTGGGGCCCAGCGACGTGTAGTATATCCGAAATCTCCGGGGTTCCCTTTTCCCATACTTCCTTGGCATCCTCACGCTTAGAGTGGGGAAGATGAAAGGTACATAGAAGTATGGGTCGCCCTCCAGTCGGTTTCAGATATACACCCAGGCCAACTGTCGAGACATGTGTAGACTGAACGTATTCCGAAAAGGGGTGTCGAATTAGGATGCACACATGCCGAAAGCCTTGAGCTGTGTCAACGTGAAAGCAAGAATATTTCTCTTTGCCCGACCATACCGTAAAGGAAATGGCCGAATTAGATGGGGTGCGTCCAAGGCCGCCAACTTCTTGGAGCAGGATGAAATCAGGTGGGTGAATTATACCTTGCATAGTATCCAAGACTTCTTGAACATGCTTACCTCGTACATTCCAGTGCACAACCTGGGCATCGAGTACAGGTCGGTTATGGGGGGGCTGTTTACCACGGTATGCGTGCTGTGTATCCTTGTCCCTGCCTACTTCCTAGTCTTCACAAGTCTTGAGGACATCGCTGACACTACAGCCGAGCAAGCGAGCTACATGTGCGACATCAATGTACCAACCATTGTGTGAGCCTCGTACGTCTGAAAGAGGATGATGGTCGGTAGGTGGGGCTCGTTGGGATGCATGGAACAAGATGTTCTCTCCGTCTAGGTAGACCCGTCCTTTCCATTCGAATTCCGTACGGGACTCTGGGGATGCCAGCTTATGCATAAGTTCACGGGTTCGCAAGATGCTGCGGATCATCTGTCGGTCCTCAGGTGATCTGTTCCTTTGAAACCATAAACGACTCTCACTCTGTCCTTGGATAGCCGTCTTATAGTTGTCCTTGAGGATTTGTAGCACTTGGGTTTGCATGGCTCGTCGTGCACTCAGATCGGAGGCTGGAGGGAAGTTCAATTCTATGCGCACAATGTTCGAACGAAGGTACGGTACATAGACTTCTTTAAGTACTTCGGGGCCTCCGTGCAGGCGGAAGAATTCACGGACTTCTTGTTGAAGGTCGGTTCGTTTGGCATTCGAGAAACCGCCGATTACGAGTTGCAAATCATCTATCGGTCGGCCTCCAACACTAGATGCGGTGGTGGAGTTAAGTCCTCCACCTCGGGGAGTGTTACCTCCCATACTACGAGGGGTGTAAGGAGACTGGGCACGGGACTTAAGTTCGGAGAGCTCTCTTTCCAAGCGACTGATGCGACCTTCCGTTTCTGTATGTAACTTTTCATGTGCTTCAGTACGAGTCTGCAGTGTGTTAATGCAAGCTGAATTCGCCTTTGTGGTCTCTACGTTCGAGGATAGCTCGGAGAGGAAACGGTCCTGTTGAGACACTAATCTGTGTAGGTCTGCCTGCAGTGACGAAAGCCACGGTGGGTTTGAGTGAGTCTCTCGGTGAGGGTCCGTAGTCAGGGCTTGGGACGGTGGTTTACCGTGGTGATCATCACGATTGGGCAATTCACTAAGGCCTGGCGGGGCGCCTGTGTCATTACGAATGCCGGTGGTCCTCCTAGGTCCTCGCCTCGGTGAGGGGAGGCCTGCCTGAATGTTACCTGCAAATTGTGGAGGTGCTAGGGTGGGGGAGGGACCTGCAGCTTTACCGAATTCGGGTGAGTCAGCATGTCGTGGTGGTGGTGGAGCTGTGGAAGGGGGGGGAGCTTTGTTGTGCGAAGTGGGTTCTGGAGGTGTAGCGGGTTGACCAGCTGTCTGTCGGAGTTCGTCATCATCGTCAAGCTCATCATCAACTGTGAGGTCATACTCGGCAATAACATCTGCGCTGGAACGTTTCTTTTGGGGGGAATCCATTGGGGTCGGGAGTTCGGCTTCATCTGCAGTGCGGGCCTTGTTAGTGTCTACCATCATGGCTGCTACCTCTGCAGGGGCAGGAAAGGTAAACGTAGGTTGACCATCTAACTCACCTAGCTGAACTGGTCCTCCTAGTGCTGCTGCCAGGGCCGCTTGGGCTGATTCGATGGTGCGGGGCGAGGCAGGCTGTGTAGCTTGTGTGCTATCATGCGAGTGGTCATCACTATCCGTGAAGGGGATGGGTTTGGTATCATCTACCCAGCCCATGCGTTTCTTGAACTCGTCAAAAGGCTCCAAGTGGGGGGGGTCAGGGCGGCTAGTACCTGCCGCTATACGAGCATTTAACCCCGACAACGCTTCGGACATGGCTCAGGACAAGGATAGCACACGCAGTAGAGATCACCAATAAGGGGCGCAGCTGGCAGAAGCAATAGGACAAGTAGTAGGCAGGAGGTAAGGAGTGTGACGGGGACTGCGAGAAAGCCCCAGAGGGACCGCGGGGGGCTACTCTGACACGGCCTCTACGTCCACAGCGAGACACGGCCTTGAGCCAAAATGGCTTGAGCCAAAATGGCTACGGGCTTAGGGTTTAGGGTTTCTTCTTCCTCCTTAATGGCATGAGTCAAACGTGACACTGGCCAGCAGTAGCAAAAGCATGCAACGACAACCCAATTAAGCGATGACCTCGAGAAAAGGAGGGGAGATCTTGCTGCTCCCACTCACGCTGTGCGTGGTTTAGGGACCCTAAACTAAACCATGCAAGGGTCTTGGGGTTGACGTTGAATTATGGGTTCAGGCTGAAAGTTGACAGGGTTATCAGGGTCTTACAGATTGGTCTGATATAGTGGTTGGGTGTATATTGTTATATAAAGAGGTTGCCCTAAAATCCTTGCCGGCAGCCTGGACGCTACATGGGTTTTTTTGCTTAAGGTTTAGGGTACAAAACCTTGTGATAAAGACCCACAAACAACCCCAACAACCTTGAGCCTAGAAGACCCTAAATCCAAAACCCTTTTTGGGGCAACTTGGAGGCACTTCAGAGGGACCTCGTTGAAACCCAAAACCCTAAGCTAGGATGCCCAGTAACCTAGGAATAAAAAGGCCTCTCTTTTTGGTATTGGGTAACTTTATAAGGAACCTAGGACTACAAAAAGGGAATAAGGGTACTACTGGGCATCCTAGTAAGCTCCAAACCATCCCAAAGCCTCACTTCGAAACGAAGGCCCGGCGCCTGGCACTTCGAGGCCGAGAGAAGCATCCGAAGAGGTTCCCAAGAGCAGGCGTCTGCATCCTCAGGTTTCGGCGCTCACACTCGGACAATCCAGGCGAGGCATATGGTTCGGAGTCTGCGATGTGAAACGGCACTAGAAGATCACGTCAGGACAGAAGCAAAAGTCAGGTTTAGGGTTTAGGGTTTAGGGCCCCGAAAAAGCGCTTAAAACGTCAGGATCCTAGCTTTGGGGGATCAGGCAAGGCGGGATTCCAGAAGACCCCCACTGTGAGATCTTTAAATATAAGTGGCCTTTCTCAGCTGAAAAAACCCTGGCGAGAGCAAAGCCTGAGCTCTTGCGCAAAGGTTCTGAGCAGATTATACTGGATAGAATTTGGGGCAGTAAGGAATACTATGAACCACTTTAACCCCTCGAAGGTAAGGTCCGGCAGTGTAGGGTTCTGGCTTGAGGGGTTCAGGATGGTTTAGTCGCAAAGGCTTGGTTTAAGGTTTTGGGAGCCTTGAGAGGCTCAAACTAGCAAGCCCAGTGCTGTTGCCAATACCACTTTCCGTCCGCAAATCATATCAAGCCCACTATAAAAACTGAAGGGCTAGTCCATAAATCACAGAGACAGAAAACGCTCGAAGAGCGAAACCACCTGCGGCAAGTTCGTTGTTGTTTTCGGGCATAACTCCACCTCCCCCTTGAAGCAGAGGGAACGCTTCGCTCAATTGGGAGCCAGCCTATTCTGGCGAACCCTAAGCCGTAAACTCCAAAGGCCCCCAACCCCAAACAGTAATCCCCAAACCTCAAAAGCCATAAGCCACATACCCCAAACTCCAAAGGCCCTCAACCCCTAAAACAGCCATGAAGACCCTAGACCCCTAAGCCCTAAACCCTGAAAAGCTAAAACCCCAAATTCCAAAGGCCCTCAACCCCTAAAACACCGATGAGAAAGCAAAGCTCTGAAGCCCCCAGGCCTCGGCGAAGGCTTCCGAGGCAACTTCTGGCAAGAGCAACCTTTGCAGCTGAATGCAGGAGCTGTTTATGATATAGAACTTACAAGCTAGAACAGATAATATGTGACATAATACACACACATGTATATATATATATGTATATATATAACGCAGGGCATCAAATCTTTGTGTAGTTGATCTTGGTCTGTGATGTCTGCATGCTTTTGGTTGGGTTTGGGGTAGCTTCTAGGGTTTGAGGCTTTCTTCGGTTGGGCTTTGGGGGGCTTCGAAGGTTTGAGGGTTAGGGGTTCAGGGGCTTCGAGGGTTTACAGTAGAAGCCAGAAAGTTGGAATATGATTATCCTAACCCCTTTAAATTATAGGGTATCCTACCATGAAACCATATTCCAACTTTCTGGAGTTCCCTTTAGAGGTTCCGGGTTTCCGCGCTGGGTCTGAGTCTGCGTGGGCTTTGGCTGTTGTGCCTGGCTTTTATTGTCCGCCTCAGGGACTCTCAGGCCTAACGGAAGCTATTATATACCATATAATATATCATATATAATATATCATATATAATATATAACATATAATATATAATATATAATATATAATATATAATATATAATTTATAAATATTATGTAATATGTAATATGTCAGGTAAGCCGCATGATTTGCAGCAGCGGCACCCTCTCCTCATGAAGATGGGGCCACCTGGAGGCAGCACTGGGCGGCAGCATCTACAGAAATGCCGGCGTTGAGGGCATGTCTTTGGGATATAACCGCACATGCGGTTGGGTGTCTGGTCCCTCTTTTTTGAACCGTACTGAGGCCGATGCGTGTGATGGGAGAGAGCGTTCTCCGAACAGCTCACAGCAACAAGGATGCATGCGAGGCGCATCCAACTCGAGATCTTAGAGATCAGATGTAAGATGCTCTACTTGTGTTACCTGGTCCTTCTGGAACATAGATCTTGGGTGTTCTTGAGGTGTGAACTCTCACGCAGCCCAGGCCAGATGCCTTCTCTTACCGAAGTGGGATCGATGGATCCCCAACAACCCTCGAACACCTGTAAACCTTGAACACACGAAGCTCTTAACCCTGAAGTCACCGAAGCAAAGGCTTTCGGACGAGCAATCCGACCAAGCCAAGGCCTGTTGAACCCTAAACTCCGATAGACTTTATTAGCTATTGACCTCACTAAGCCCTCTGGACCCCGACTAAACACCCCTAGACCTTGTGAAACCATACTCAACTTTTCTGAAGCCCATCAGACCCTGTTAAATCGTGCTGATGCCCCTTCAGCTTGCGAAACCTTGCAAGTGAACTCCAGAAAGCCTTACTATACCCAAAAAATCCTACAGTGCTAACCCCTGTCGAGTCTTCTCTAATTCCTCAAACCTAAGCCCTTAAATAATAAGCGCCCTAGCCCTAAATAAACCCTAAACCCCTGAAGCCCTAAAGCCCCCTTCAACCCCCAAAACTCACCTTTGGTTAGCAGGGAATGGAAGAATGGTAGCAGTTATAATTGTAACCCATTCCTCCATTCCCTACTAACCAAAGGTAAGCTATAGGATTATTAAGGCCCCTAAATTTTAGTACCCTTATAGATCCCTTATAGTACCCTTATAGAAAGGGAAGAAGATCGAGAGTTCCGGGGATCGGACGCAGCCCCCACTGCTGCTGCGAGGGCCTCGGCCTCAGGAGGCCTCCGCGAAGTGCAGCTCTCTTTCTGCATATCTGTTGCAAGGTGTTTGGTGTATTTCTAGTATATTCCCAAAGGGTCCAAGTCATAGTACAGTATGTACCTTATACATCTGTTGCAATATGGGTGGTTGTCCAAACTAGGATCCCCTTTTTAGGGAAGGGGAACCCTAAATAATAGGTGCCGGATTCTAATACGGACCCAAAAAGGGACCCTAATTTTGACAACTACCCATATGATACTAGTAGTATATCTAGTAAGTACATTATAGCAGACCTAAGTGATTAAATGATTGTCTGTCATATCTAGTAAGTATAATATGGCAGATCTGAGTAATTATGTGATTTTCTGTGCATCCGACGAGTTGTCACGTCTACTTGAGGTGTTGGGCTTTCGGACTTTAGGCAAGACAAACTGGAGGCAAAGAAAGACAGCTTGCGGGAGACAAACCTCGAAAATCATAATTTTCTCGTGTATTATAGCAGAGTCTAGGGTGTTCTAATATGTTGCAAGTATATGTACCTCAAAATTATCCGACAAAGCAAGGGCCTTATTAGGAATCGCGATTTTCAAAAGCTGCCACAGCGTTCCCTGTAGGGAGCCCAGCGCTTTTCAAGGGCGAGCTACACGAGTTTGCAAGGAGGTGCTTAACAACAAAAGCCGGGGGATCGCAAGAGTTACGGTGCAGTCGTGTATATACAGGGGTTGAGTCTATTGGAGGTTAAGGTCATCGCTCGAAAGCGGCGACCACCCAGACATGGAGAATCATTGCTCATCGAACCAAATCCTGAAGCGGCCCTAACAGTTACTTATTCTGACCCCTGCTGTACCTCTCGGAGGGCCGCGCCAGGGCATCGTGCAACACCTGCCTCATGCAATAAAAACAAGGCTGCGCAAGAGCGGCAACAAGACAGACTTTTGCAGGACAAGGATCGGATTCACTCAACCGCAATGCCCAAAGCCCGATACCACAATACCCTATAGGCCCTATACCAAGAATCCGTGTGTTGGCCAGACTGCCAAGGTGTCTTGGGATCGAGCCAACTGATTACGCTCCCTCGCTGAAGCCTTTCGTGCTCTCTCAACCCTTCGATCAGTTTGGCAACCCTCCAAGCAACCATCTGAAGTCCGGTTCGTCTGGAGCCTGGTCTTACAGTCGAAGGTTTCGGGTTGTGGTATGCTTGTCACGAAGACCCACATCTGAGAGGCTACATGGGTGGTTGTCAAAATTAATATCCCTTTTTGGTCCTTATTTTAATACGGCACCTATTATTTAGGGAACCCAAAAAGGGACCCTAATTTTGACAACCACGCACATGTCTCAGGGTTCAGGGTCTGGTCTTAGAGATAACCTCTTGTTCTCGACGGGCTGCAACGCTTCGCCAATCAGGGCCGCGCCGGCGCAGCGGCGGCCACAGCGGGGCGCGGACTTCAACGCCTGAGCCAGAGAGTGTTCATACGAGTCGAGGCATATACATGTATGCAAATTATATCTACCTATCAATCTATCTGTATATGTACATCTATGAACGTGTGCATGTACATGTATCAGCGCATGGATGTGCCCGCTTCGTTGTGTAGGTAAAAGTCCGTTTGCATGCATTCATGCAGGTGCTTTTGTATGTGATACAAGCCTGCCTCCCTATCTCTCCTTTCGATTCTTCGTTGCACTAGATGTACGCAGAGTGATAGCCTGGGTGCCGCCACATGCCATGTGCACTGAGTTTGTTTAAGTGTGCATCGGAGAACAGCATTCCTTTGCTCTGCATGTGCGCTGTGCAGCGCTCTTTCTACCCTGGACGCGTCTATGGAACACGCCAAACTCCTTAGTAACTCGGGATACACCACCAGGGCAACACTCGGAGTATCCCAACAAGCTCTTGAGAGGCCTCTTGGAAGGAATGCCACGCGGTGTGTAGACCACTGGAGAGGGTCATCCTGGAGCCGCTTCGGATGTGACTGAAGGCTTCTAGATGACGTTCTATCAGGATCACGTGTCTGCTGTGGGAACAAGAGGATTCTTCAACGCCCAAGCGCTCGGCAAGTTCGCTTTGCAAAGGTTCTCGCAGATGTAGCAGCAGCTTCAGAAATAACAAAATCTGTTTTGCTTCCTTGTTTCCTGGGAAGCCCAATGTTCCGTGTTTCTGCATTTGAGACCTGCAGAATCACGAATGATCCCCAACCCAGATGGCAAAAAAGCCCATCCATCGACCGAAGAATGGCTAGAATTTCCAACCCGGCCGAGTGTCGACTCTACCAGGGAAGGGTCGCGCGAGCGCCAGGAAGGGAAGCGCCAGCCGATCCTACAGTATACTGTAGGCTCTCCTGACACTACGTGTGTATGTTGTACGTGGGTATAAACGAATTAAAAACCAAAACAGGCAAACATGCGTGCATACATGCATACATGTAGACAGACATGCACCCATGCATACATGCATACTTACATACATATATACATGCATACATACATGCATACAAACATGCATACACTCATACATACATGCATACAGACATTCATACATTACATACACACATACATAAATACATACATACATACATTCATACATTACATACACACATACATACATACATACATGCACACATACGTACATACATATACACACACCCAAGTATACATACACATAGACCCATATCTACGTGTATACATATACATATATACATATTTATTTATATATATATATATATATATATATGTATACATACACTAAACATATACACACATGTCACACATGCATACATTCCTATGCACGTACCGTAGACATCCATTTATTTCTGCATCTATGCGCGTAATGCCTGTGGTGAGGGCCGTACACATGTATGTACGGTTAGGTAACATGTATGTACGCATGCACGCATGCGTGTGCGTGTGCATGTTTGCATCTGGAAGGATGTACGTACACGTGAAGCACCTCTACTAAGCCACAGATATGCATACCAGCATTTGCATCGGTCTTGTGTCACACTTGGATCGCTGTAGGTGAAAACATGGACAGGTGCGTGATCAATGTTTTGATAGAGATACAAGTATAAATAAGATTCTAGCTATTGGACCTGGGGGTCCAGGGTGTCACCGCACAACGAAATGCCAGAAACCTATAAACAGCACCGTAAACCCTAGACCCGGCACCCTAAGTCAATGTCGGCCTCTCTGTTCGCTCCACAGCATCGGCATAGTATTGGTAGGCCAGGGGTTGCACGTACCTCAAGAAGTGGACATAATCGAAACGGTCTAGGGTTAGGTGTAGGGTCCAGGGTTTGGGCCACCATGTCAATTGATGGATAATTTCCAGAGACCCCGACGCCAGCTTAATCAAGGAACTGCAGTCTCGGTTGAAGGAACATTTCTGAACGAAAGTGGCTGGAACTGTTGGGAGAGTGAATCCAGGCCCGAAATCAAAACACTAAACCCCAACAAAACGTGCCCCGCACCCAAACCCAGTCCAGCCAATGTCTTGCCCGGAAAGGCTGAAATTTCAGCCTTGAGCTAGACGAATTCTATACACGCATCGATCTCATCTGGGTTGTGCTTTAAACACTGTGAAAACTATTTATGAATAGGTTCCCTTATGTATAAGGAGATAAGGGAAATTAAAAACAATCCCAAAGCACAACCTAGCAAAGCTCACCAAACTCCTAAGATAGATCCTGCTTCGGCAAGTTGCGACATCAGGGATGGCAGGTGCATCGCATCGATCGCCCAGTCCTCTCCCCGGAGACTCCACATCTCCATTAACCCAGGGTCTCTTGTTGAGAAGCTCTGATGAAATTTCCTAGACCCCCCAAAAGTAAGTAAAACAATGGCCCAAAACCTATAAACGGCTATTATTCTACATACTTTTGGGGTCCAGGTTGAAGGAATTTCGAGTATACCTCCATTCAAACATTTCGCAGTCTCCCGTTTCAGGACCGAACCATCTTATGAGTTCGGCCTAGCCGGAATCCCAGCTGTGACTCGCCGGCATCTCCGGCTAAACCATGCTAAACCCTTAACTCCAAAGATGCCCACATGTCGTCCGACGCCTGCTGAGATCACATACGGGCATTTCTGAGGCTTCTACGTAACAGAACTTCGTCGCTGCCGGACTCCCTGTAATAAGCACGCACCCACCATAGGGATCCATAGGGTCTGACGATTTCTATGCAGATTTCCACGAAGCATTGCTAGTCTGACTGTTACAGAAATGCTCGCCGCAGTGCCTACGAGTACCAGCACTCCTACAGCCACGATCTTGACTGGAGCTCCCACCTCTAAACCCGGAACCCTTAACTATCAGTGATGCTCCAGGCCATCGGCACCCAGCAGGGTGGCAGCCCCGGGCGCACAATCCGGCGGGATATTCCAATCCCTGGCAAGCATTTTGGAGCCACTTCTGTTTTCTGATGGTGTATGACTCTAAGTGCATATGTATACGGAAACAAATTGAAAGGGGATGTGGGACTCTTTATCTTTCTCTTCGAACTCGGGAACTTGGGATTTGCGCTTCGAGGCTTCTCTGAAGGTTCGTCACGGAGGATGCAGTATTCTGAGTCGCATGGTCATGTGAGCGCGAGTCAGCCGCATGCCCTCAGTCCAAGCCAAATTCAGGACTTCCGTGGCGAGTCCTGAATTCGCAAGTTCTGAGCAATTGAAAAGTCGGCCTCTGTATGATCGGGACATGATCCCAGAAAGGCTCATGCTGCAAACGCCTGGGCGCGTTGATGGCTTCAGTGCTTTAAGACTTAGTGTTGTCTTGCTTCCTGGTAGGCAGGGCACAGGAAGAGGTCTCAGCTGGAGTGGGGGCAAAAGGCAACATAAGCCGGCTTCACGGCACAGCATCTGTAGCGCTCCTCTACCTTACCTTTGGTTAGTAGGGAATGGAAGAATGGTAGTAATAGCATTTATCATTGTACCCCATTCCCCCATTCCCTACTAACCAAAGGTAGGCTACCCGAAACCTGAAGCCCACCATTCGGCAAAAGTGGCTCGAGGTGGCAGACATCGGGCCGTGCCATGGCTGAGAGTAGCTTTCTTCGCTTTAGTTCGGGGTTAAGAGTACGCCCTTTCATGCTCTACACGCCAAGAATACGAAAAACCTTGACCCCCAAATGCTATACGATCACAGACTCTAAAGGCGAAAACTTCGGCAGACGCATGGACTTTTGGCCAAGGTCGGGTTCTCCGCTGGATGTAGTCTTCAGACTGCACGGCAGCCACGACTGACGGAGTCATAAGCAAGAGGAGATTGGGTTTACACGCGGTTGCGGGCCCTTAGGGCTTCATAACATTCAGGCATGTTTAGAGAATAAGCTCTCAAGGTTTCTGGTGCGGGTCTTGCGGCCCAGGGGGATTTAGGATCCTTTTTTGCTACTGGACTCAAGTCTAGCCAGGATTTAGGACCCTTGTACACCTGGACTATGCATATGCCAGGAACCGAGGCGCCGACTGTGCTGTGGACTCTAGAACCCAAACCAAAGAATCCAAAAGTCCTCAAGCTCTAGGGCTTGAAGAGCTGTGGATGCCTGCCAGAAGATACGTCAGGACTGCACAAGATGTCTCCTGTGAAGCCCCATCCCTGACACCAGAGCTAAACGCTAAACCCTAAGCCCAACAGCCTTAAGCCTGAAACCCTAAACCCCAATTCAAGTTCTAAGCCCCAACCGATCCCTCCGAAAGCTCCGTCGCACCCACGAGCAGATACCTTCATGTCTTAAGGGCCTGAATTATTAGAATAGTTTTCTGAGGGCCTTAGTTATCAGAAAAGGTTTCTTTAAGTGCCTTTATGATGAGAATAGGGTTTTGGGATTCATGCATAGCATAGTTACACTAAGGAATAGTACCACCACGATTCGGGCTTCTATATTATCCCCGCCGAAGCCCTGGACATACCTTATCGAGAGCCCTGTAGGCAACCATCCGAGCTGAATAACAATCACCTCATACCTTTCGATGCCAAATTTTATGCTAAAAAGAATGATCGAAGGCAGAAGCATGATATTAATATTCATACCGCCTTCATTCCTGTATCTCTCCCATCATCCCTCTGCCTTCATTGCTCTCCCTCTCCCTTCATTCCGTTGCCTTCATCCCTCTCCCTCTCCCCCGCCCTCTCCCTTCATTCCTCTGCCTGCATTCCTCTCCTTCATTCCTCTGCCGTCATACCTTTACCTCTTCCTTCATCCCGCGTTTAGGGACACGGGTTTTCCCAGCCGGTTGTCATGCAGCTCGAAGCTCCGCCAGAAAAGGATTGCATCCGACCTGAGTCGGCGTGTGTGCCAAGAGTCGTGCTCCCACCTGAGCTTAGCGACGCCCTACAGCCCCGACAAAACTACATAACAAATTATGGTTTGAACCCAGAAAGCCAACATGCCTTCTCTCCAACCATGATTCCCAAAAAATGCAAGAATCACGCAGTATCAAAAAGTCATATACGTATAATACATCTATAACTTCATCTGGTCTCACGATCAACAACCACGAAACTCAACAATACTACCGGAATGCCGTTCTTTTATCGCAGCATGATACACCCAAAGGCTCAACCGGCGGTGTTCTTGCAGAACGGTCTGGGCAGAATTGTGCAAGGTGAAAAGCTGGATACCCACGTGCATCAGCATGCCACCACGCAGTCTCTCAGATGGATGCTCCTTGCTCTTGAGCTCCACTCTGTTCGCTCGACATGCAGCGTTCCAGGTCTTTTGGGGTTGAAGATTCAAGGCTTCAGGAGGGGATTTCCGGGGTCCAGGCTCGGGCTTTCAGTCTTCAAACCCTGAACCCTGAACCCTAAGCCCTAAACGCGACGCCTCGTCACGAGAACTTCGGAAGGACCCTCAGGGCTTGGCTGAGCTGCAGTCGGAGGCCGGCGGCTGCCTGCGGAGTTGACGAGCTTTCGTCAATTTACCTCCGGGGTGGGCTGGGTTTAGGGCTCTGGGGGTCTGGAATTCTTAGGGCTTTAGGCCCTACGACTGTTGATGATAAAAATCCTGAATTACCTTAAGGGCCCTAAACTATGGGAATTATGGCATATTGCTTATTACGGGTATAATGCAGGATTTATATCATCAACCGTAGTAGTGGTTGAAAGTCTGGGGGTTCCGAGCCCACGGTCTTCGCGCTGCGGATTCGGGTCGGACCAGGCCAAGAGGTTTTGCTCGGTGTTGCAAACTATACTGAACTTAGAACCCTAGCAAAAATTACAATCTTAGCTGTTTCTTAGGGATTATAATAACCAAAAATGAAAAATTATTTCTAAGTACCCCTAAGGCAAAATGCTTAGTAAAGCTGTCAGGTTCGAGGTCTGGCGCAGTGGAAGGCTAAGGCGCGTGGGGCTCGCAACTTGTTTCCTGTTGGGGCCGGTTTAGGGTTCAGGGTTCGATTTGCACATATTTGCACCCTAGCTTGCCACCAAGACTGCCAGAAACTGCAAGATCAAGGGGAACTTGTGTTTGCCCTAGGCAGGCCCATGGTGTCGTCGGCTACTTTTGCAGTACAAACAGAGGGTCGTTGCACCATCCATTCATCATTACACATGGGAGTTTCCGAAAATTGGGGGTACTTTTTTGGCGGGTCCTTATAATATTGATCCTACTATTTAGGGTACTATATTAGGGTCCCCTATTTTCTGAAACTCCCACGTGAAACCAAGTATGGCCGGCACGAGACCTTGCCACAAAGCAGGTGCTAAAGCGACCCAACGCCGCCGCACACTTGGCAAGTGCAGGCTATTGAAAAACCACGAACGACCCAGCCGGGAACCATGCTACTATCTGATGTACGTAACATACGTAGCACACGAATCCGACCGCTGAGAGCAAGGACGACCAATACTGGAGAAAGACCGGCAGTCTCAACTGGCGCTCATAACTAAACGATAGGATATGCCCGAAGAAACCGGGAAACCATCCTACAATCGCCTTCTCCAGATGAAGCCTTGGACGCAGCAAAGATGCAACCAGTGATGAGGGTGCACCAGCCATGGCAAGAGCCCGGTTCACGCTTTCACAACTCGGACACGGCCAGGCGAGGTTCTTAGGGTTTGCGTCATGGAAGGTTTAACATCAACTCGTGTACAGTAGTTTGCCTTGGCTTTGACGGAATGTCTGTCGAGGCAAGCCATGGACCAGGAGCCATTAGAGTACCTGCTTCTAGTGAGTCGTTATGATGTGGGGAGCTTGAAAATCAGTATCAGGAAACTCCCAGTGTCTGGAGCTGGAAAGTTAAAACACCGGATAACCCCACATGCGTGTTTCATCTTTTGGCAAAGATGCTAGAAGTGAAGACGAATGAGTGAGTGAACGAGTGCGTGATTGAGTGAGTGAACGAGTGCGTGCCGCGGCAGTCCTTGCACTGGCACGTCATGACGTGCCACGTTCCCACACGATGTACCGTGGTGCTGCTCGATTGAAGCGGTCTGGAGGATTTACGCTGGAGAAGGACAATCGAGGGTTTAGGGTGTTGGACATGAGACAAACCGTTCGTACCCGGGTACCCTGCCGACTACGGGTTGAGCCTATCCAACAGAGAGCTCTGGAGAGGCCGCTCAGAGGCGTTTACTGTCTTCCGGAGGGTGCTGGCCCCGACGCGCGCGCGGCATCCAACAGAGTCGCGTTTACAGTCTTCCGAAGGGTGCGCGCCGCCGTGACGAGTGGTCAGTGAGTGTGTGAGTGGTGCGTGCGTGAGTGAGAGGTGCGTGCGTGATGTGGTGAGTGAGTGTGAGTGATGAATGATGTGAGGAGGAGCAGGAGGAGGGAGGAGGAGGAAGGAAGCAAGGAGAAGGAGAAGGAGGAGGAGGCGGGAAAGCCCCAAAAGTAAGAACCCCACACAGATGTGGGGAACTGAAGATCCACCATTAAGAGACTCCAGTTCAGCATGCGCAGCCGGTAAGAAAAAAAGTTCAATCTCTGTGGACCCCTGAGTCATTAGCACCCGTCCTCATCGTCTCCTTTTCTACCCCTCTCCTGCTCTGAAAGCTCTAGACTCGAGAAGAACACAAATCAAATGTCAAGAAATGGAAATGTCACAGGTCCGGCAGCATCTAAGTTCTCGAACGAAAAACATATGCCACGAAGTCCACAAGCGTGACGCTAATTCTGTGGGAGTTTCCGACAATAAGGGACTCTAATATAGCACCTTAAAGAGTAGGATCCTATATTATGGGAACCCCAAAACGAGGTACCTCTAGTTTTCGGAAAGCTCCACCCTAAACCCTAAACCCTAAACCCTAAACCCTAAACCCTCCCATTTGGGTGGCAACAGGATGTGACAAGACCTCTATGCCTCGGCTACAAGCTGTTTTAAAGATTTTACCTTTGGGTTCGTAGGGAATGGAAGGGGCCGTATAATTAAAAGGGGTCTATAATAAGGGTTACTATAAGGGATCTATCGGGGTACTATAATAGAGGGGGCTTGATAATCTTACCTTTGGTTCGTAGGGAATGGAGGAATGGTGTACAATTATAACTACTATTACTACCATTCTTCCATTTCCTACTAACCAAAGGTAAGAGAAGGGCACGAAGGGCAAAACCCTTCTCCCAAGACCTTTCCGTAAAATCAAACGAAGCATGTACGAAGCTTGCAGTTTGCTGTCTTCCCCCCTAGTCCGCAGAAGCACTCGTGTCACATCAACTGCACAGATCGACAGCATGCAGGAAAGCAGTAAACAAATGGTGCCTCCTTTTTGACAGCGGGCGAAATCGCCCGCAATGGAGCGAATCTTCATTACGGCCTGTTGGCGGCCAGCTGATTCGCAGACTCAGCCGCGATCTTCCTGAGAGTTCCCTGCCATGTCTGGCACTTCGAACTCAGTCAAAATGCTTGCAAAAGGAAGTCAAGATTGGTGGCAGCCACAGTCAGCGAGTCGAGGCTGACCGCGACCTGCTGCAACCATCACCTCTGACGTCGATGCTAGAGCACACCGAGCCGTGCAAGACGGAATCACAAAACATGGCCTTGTGTTGCCAAGGATTCCCAGCTGCAGCTGCGTGAGGTGTGTGTTCCTCATCTGAAATCGACA